AAAAGTCCTCCAGTTATAAATGACAGTGGCCTTACATGACAGAGGACTGTCCCTATAGATTTAGTAACTGCTCTTCTGTGTTTCTACTAGTATGTCACAATCATAATGCCATAGGCAGTTTTATGCTTGTTTGGTGTTAGAACTGCACCCATCATGCAGTTTTAAAAATGGATCAATCTCACCAGTAAGTATAAACTGTAGAGGATATGATAATATTTACTTCTTTTTTGCTTTGTAGATCATTGTGTATGTGACTGGTACAGGATTTACAGTTTCCACTGCTCCTACTAGTTTCACCATTTGTTTGAACACAAGAGAATGAATGAAAGGAGCCCACAATGAGTTATCTTTGTTTCTTAGCAATTTTACAATTAAGATCTTTACATAAGTCTCAACTCATATGTGGAAATATTAATATCTTGCCTGCAAATATAATGATATTACAGTGTGCTTGTTTTATTTAATTGCAAGTACAAAAATTATGTCTGTAGCAAAGCATTTAATGTTAATTTCATTGTAACATTGCATTGTGGTAGCATCTGTATTTTAAGAAGTTCTGAGTGGTGTTGATAGCTGTGTCACTGAATTCACTTACCTATTTGAGTAATAGAGGTCAGTCTTTTAGTGAGTCTTTTTTTTTGTAAATTACCACTAAAAAGATCTACAGCAATTTTTTCCTGAGAACTTCAATGACCTGATGTGGTTTTCTGTTCACTTGGTATAGTATCATAGAGATTTAAGCATATTTTTTGCATCTAATTTTTTGGCTTTGAGGTAAACTCCTTTCTTACTTATTTGATTGTTTCAGGCCTACAGCATTGAACAGGCTCTGGGAATTCACATTCTCTTCATCCTTTCACCTTGATGTTTTTGTTTATAGACATTAATTGAATTCCATAAGTTTACTGCCAACCTCAAGCCTTTCAAATGTTTATCTCATGTCCCTTGGTTTTAATATAGATTTTTAAAAATATAAAATAAAAATAACTCTCTTGTGATTTTATGGATCAAACTTGCATGCTTTCCTTTGCTATCTGTTTGTAGTGTTTTTTTAACTTAGGCATATTCATGCCTCTGGGATAAAAGGTGACATAAAGAGGACTATTGAAAATTTTATATATTAAAAATCCATTGAAATTCAGGAAGAGCTATGTGTTTGAATTTCAGATTCAGCATTAAAAAAAAATAAATTTGCAGAAATTATGTAAAATATGTATTTCCAAAGTGTCAAACTTCTCTGTAGGTAAAATTTACCAGCCCATTTTAGTCTTCTGCAGATATTAGTGAAAAGTAATAAGATGGAGACCAAGAACTAAGAAGAATGAGGTTAATGTTGTTAGTCTGACAAGGCTGAACTTAAAACAAGCAAGACTGAATGAAAGCGGTATGGTCAAACCTGAGAAAATGGAGTAAAGGCCCAATTTCTCTATGCCCTTAGTTTAAGCATGAATTTTACTGTAAGTATGGTAAGCCCTGAAGATCTTGGGAAAAGGGTACAGCATTTGATCAAAGAAAGTAAATATTATCACAGTGACACAAATTTCAGCTTGAATAATTAAAAAATAGACTATATTATTGCTGTGCATTTTATATACTGAAAACAAAAACTAACTGAATGAAATATGAAACTTTTAATGTTATTCTTAATAGCCCAAACTAACAATTACCTTATGGTCTGCAGTGAACCCTGAGCAATGCACTATCCCTGGACTGACCACAAGGAAAAACGTGGCACAGCTTGTGCTACATAGCAAGAGGTATCTAGTGCTGGATACTAGAAAAGCAAAAGGTAGTGAACAAGGCAAGACCTGGGCAGCTTGCACTTTTTGTGTTGTAACTTGCAGTGCGAGTAAGTTGGCAAGAGGAAGGGAACCTCTTGCAAACCTTACCTTCCTGCACAGTTTTGACAGTGGAATCGTAATCTTTCATGTGAATTGCAAACCTCTCTGTCCTTCACTGTAAATGGGAGTAAATGAAATCAGTTGCATCTAAGAAACAAAATAAAAACCCAGTGATTGTAATATAGCACTAGTAAGGAGTAAAAGTCAGATTTTATCAAAGTTTATCATTAACTTTTATTTGAAAGTAAATGTTGTTTACATAAGTTGGAATACAATTTCTATGTGTAACATTCAGTGATCCTAGAAGTGCTTGGAGATCCTGTGAAGTGTCTCACCACTTGTGGATTATCTCAGCTACATAATATTATTTTCCTCTTATTTTTTCCCTGCATTCCTTACTCTCTATTTTTTGGCAATCAGCTGCTTCACTTTGTTCCTCCGACTCTCAGCAGGGATCCTTTCTCTCTTCTAGTGTCCATAAGATCTGAGTGCTTATCATGCTGTACCTCGATATCCTGTTACCTCTCTCAAATTTCCTGCATAAAACTTCTGGAGGCTTATCTGGTGCTTGTGGATGTTTATTTGAAGTTTATGGATTAGTGGTATTTCCCAAATGAAATCTCCCAGAAAAAAATAATACCATCAGATACTGCTCCAGCATTCTGCCCCAACATTATTAGAATCTGGAGCTAAGTTTTTAAGTTTAATTCTGCTTTGCAATGTCAAAGAGCAATTGGCAGAGAGAGGATTCATACTTGAAGTGGCTTTTCTTAATTGACTTGGAGGGTATCCAGAACACTTCTTCATTTAGAGTCACAAACACATATCATCCAGTACACAGTAAGGCCTTGTAGCTGTATGTCTGGAAGTTTACAACTTTCGAAAGAGAAAAGGAAGTGTGCAGATTGATTTCTGTACATAAAAAACGCATATAAAAAAGAGAAAAGACATAGAGTGATTAAGAAAGAAACTCCACATTTTTCTATGAGACCAAAATAAAATTAAAACCAAAATAGATCAGCTATTTCAGACATTCATGATTTTTCTGAATTCTGAAATACTATTTCTCATTTTCAATATGCGACCATCAGTTCCCTCAGAAATTCATTCATATTTGGAGCTAGAATTCTTAATGTGAAGATGGATAAATTAAAATAATTACTTGTTTCATCTTATGAAGCAGGGTAGTTCCTTTCATATGACCCCTAGAGAGCTTGTTTTTTGGCTTTCTTAACTTAAAGCACTTGTGAGATAATACAAAAGAGTTTATTATGTTAACATTAACACAGAAGGCTAAACTAATAGTATCTCACACCTCTGTTTGATGTGAAGGCAAACAGTTACACTGGATAAAAGAATGCACAATTTCTTGTTACTATGTGCTGACTTATTCATATATCTAAGCTTGAGGTTTCCCTAAGTATTTTAGACTTGCAGTGGCCAAAGGAATAGTGCCTAAATTTCTTTAGAAAACTTCCCCAAAACTCAGCAGCAGTAAACTTGCATTGATTAGCAAGGTCATGCTTCAGTGTTGAAAATTGCAGGAAACTGGTATATTGGTTCTGCTGGTATGAAAAGTGACCTCTTGGGTATTGGAGAAGTTGAAAAAAAAAGAAGAGCTGTTACTGTCTATTTACTTTCCTATGTGGTGGTGTTCTTTCTGGTCTATACAGTATCATTTTGGGACTCTGGGCTTTTTCAAGATCATGTTACTGAGTAAAATGAGTGCCTCTAGCACATGGTTTGGTCACCCCAGAAACTCTTATAGAACATGCTGTAGTGCTTAAGGTCTGGTATACTCTGACCTCAGCCATCAGTGTTATTCTGGGGTTACGTTATTATGGCATCCCGAGGTGGAATTGGTGTTCTTTTATGTTGGTGGTTGTACCAATGTATGAGGTATTTCCCTTTCACATCAAATTGAAGAGGATGTACAAACCAAGAATTTCTTCCAAAAAGAAAGAGCTCTGCCATTTTCCTAGTTCCTTTTTTTTTTTACCATTCTGAATTTCTTTTCAACAGGAATTACTTTAATGACCTATTTCATATCTGACACTGAACAGCTGGCAGATGATGCAAAATTTCTGTAGTGAACTGTTCTGGATTCACTGCAATAGAAGCCATGACTGTCTACAAAGGAAAAGCTCTGGTTCCTTGTGTATGAAATACACCTTTGCTAACAGACTAAGAAAAAATGAATCATGGGGACATGAGTATAGAATTATTTTTTTTCTGAATACAGACACATAATCTGTGAGTTTTTAACAATACAATTTAAAGATAAAAAATGTCAGTGGCTTTAAAAAATAGCTGTAACACTTACTAGGTTTTTAAAATAGCTGTCAAATGTGTCTTGTGAGAAAGAAATATAAATAATTTTGACCAATGAGTTTGTGAAGTTGATTTCAGTCCTCCATGTAGAAAAGTCTCTGACTAGCTTTTGTGAAGTTGTCTGCCAAAATAATATGTTTTTGAATGAGACCGTGACTTACAGACACTGACAGCCCACTGTTCTGGTAGAGGTTAGTTAAGAATACTGCTTTTCCTGAAAGTTGAAGTTCATCCTTAAAGCAAGGTTTATTCAAACTAGTTTTTTCCAAACGGAAGAAACGGGAGGATTTAAATTTTTCAGAGATTGTGTAGAAGTTGTTTTATGGAAAATATTACTTTATTGGTACCTAGAATTTTTTCTTTTTCCCATGATACTGAGCTCTGGTGTGTTATTCTGGAATTGTTTGTATGTAATAGTCCTTCATATTTCCATTGATCCTTTTCTTAATGATTTTATTTAAAGTATTCCTATTTAATTCAGTGAACTAGATTTTCTATGGGATAAAAAACATTACTTGGTGTTTGATAGATGAATTTGTTCAGTATGTATAACTTTTAGCTTTCTTCAGTAATGGGAGAGTGATGCATATAGAATTAAACTAAGGACATATATTTAAAGACAGCTAATGACATTTTTCTTTGTTCATTCCATATTATCTCCTTGTAAAACTGCATGAATAGGAAGTATTCACTTTCACAGAAAAATAATAGTTTTCTGTAGTATAGGATATGGTATAGCATGGTGCAGCATCTGTTTTGAGACTGTAGAGAGCATAGCATACAGTGGAACAGCAAAAGCTTTTATTTTTTTTTTTCCTCTCTTTACAGATGGACCCAATTCAAAAAGCTGTAATAAATCATACATTTGGGGTTCCTCTTCCTCATCGAAGAAAGCAAATCATATCATGCAGCATTTGCCAGCTGAGATTTAATTCTGACGTAAGTCGATAATTTTGTATCGGATTAGAAACATGTACTTATCTTCTAGGATGTGCACTAATTTGCATAAACTACACCTAAATGAAACGTTCTGATTTCAGTTTGTGGCTCAGCAGATGAAAAGGATATAGGATGCTTCAAATAAACACAATAATTTGGTAGTGTTTATACACCCATCCTGTGGATGTGTCCTTGTGAGCTGTTCAACATCAATTGTGTTAATGGATTGATTTATTACTGCTAATAAGGAAGAAATATTTGCCAGGTCCTAATTCTTTTACCAGTCCTGGTTATAGCTTCCTTCCTTTTCAGCCTGTACATGTTAGAAGTCATTCAGATATACTTAGAGTCCTTGTGGATCCACCTTCTTTTTTCTACCCCTACAATACCTCTGCCTACCCAGAATGATTCTTCTGTCAGTTGGCTCTTACCTTACATCCTCTCACTCCTCCAGCAACGAAATAGAGCAATCTGAACTGGAGATGGTCTCTAATCTACAGAGGCAGCCCATCCCCCATAATTATCCAAGGAAGCTGTGCTGGTGTGCTCCTGTTCTGTCACAGAAAAGCCTCTTAGAATTTAACTCCTTGATTCCTTCTCCAGGATCATTCATTGTGTGTGCAGACAAAAGCTGACATAGTACAATATATTTCCTTCTGCTATTCTAGTCTCTCCAGGAAGTTTCTTGGTGTGGGCATTGCTCTTGAAAACTTACCTTTCCCTGCCAAATGTCTTTCATTTACTACCTGCTTTACTGATTTAAATATGGAAGTTACTTCTGTCAGAATAAAAATGTTTAAATTTAAAGTGAGGTCTAACCCAAAAACATCCACAAGTGTCCTTCCTCATTCTAGCCTTAAAAAGTGGAATAACTTGTGTGTGTTCCTGCTTCTTTGTAGGTGCTATTTATGTACAGTTTGTAGCTATTTTTATTTTATCAGTTATTTATCAAAGCCATGAACTTTTCAAAAATTTAAATTGAACTTTGAAGCCTTCTTTTCAGAATTGGCCACCTAGGCATGAAAATAATGCAGCACTCATCATTCCCAGCAGCTTTTTATCCCTTAGAAATAATTTTAGCAAGATCTCAATCACAATTTCCAGACCAGTCAGCATAATGTACTTACTTTCACAGATGACTCCAGGTTTTCTAGTTCATGGACCTTCATCTTAGAACATTGACATTCTCAAACAGTGGTGCAAGGAAGAATAATACATTCTCAGGATGTTACGTCCCTCACAGATAAAAATAGAAGAGACTACGATCTTCCATTTAGAAGCCAAATGCTAGAATTGGGCCTGTGGATACTGACCCATTCATGAGAAGGGGACAATGGAAACTTCTTGGCCACAGTGGATCCCACTGATTGAGCAGCTCAGCTCATCAGTCCTAATTTTTATCTTTGTCTTGGAAAAAACATGTCACACTGAATCATATATAGTATATAGATGCAAGAGCCATCAAACACTTCAGTCTTACGTACCAAAGTGAAACACCTACTTTCAAAGAGGGTATATCATTTGGTAGTCTGCAAAAAGATCCAGACAAAAGAGAGGATGAACACATCATTAAAATAACTTAGTCATTTGCAGATACACAACTCAGATTGATGCATGGAGTGCAAAATTTTCCACCTGAGAGGAGCTAGACATTTTCTAGAATGAGATGTTTAAAATAATTCTTCTACACTGAAGAAAACGAGGTATCATTGGACACTGATACTTCTTACTCACAGGACTGGTGTGCTCCCATACTGTTCCTTTTCTGCCGCTCTTAGAAAGGATTCCAAAGAATAGAGAGGAGTGAAGCAGTGGCCATTTTCAGAGTAATTTACAATGTCCAAAAACCTGGTTTCAGAAGAAATCTATTAATTTAGATTGTTTACAGAAAACTCCTTGAAGAAAAGCTGTTAAACAGATATTTCATTGTCCCTTCACACCTTCAAATGACAGAGGCTTGAACTCCATTTTGCCAACACTGTTCAGTAGTGGCTTGTTCTAATGCTCCCTTCTCTCAAGGTAGGTCAGTATTATTAACTTTGGGATGGGGAAACCTTCTATGAGTATTTTTCCACTTCTAATATTCACCTGATTTTTGAAGCAGCTCCAGTGTTGCTGATTGATGGAGAGTTTACTATCTGAAAGGTACCCATTGATTAACCTGGAATGATATCTCTTTCCCCTTTTCCATACCACACAAAAGATATTTGTGGAGTTGTTTATGATGATCTCTTCTCATTCTAGTTTATATAGTTATTACTGATGAAAATCACAAAGTGCTCTGTGGAGGCTTTTCAAGAAATACTAAGCAGGCAAAGTTCCACTGCAGTTTAGAAATGCTTTTCTGCAATGTGAGAGGAATATACAAAGCAAAGTTCCTCTGAATCTCTACCCATTTTTGAAGCAAAAATGTGCTAAATTGAAGATTTAATGGTGAGACTTAAAGATTGCTTTGAAGAAAAAGAACTATTATCTATCATTTTTTGATAACTATACTGTATGAATGTCCAGCACACATATTGTTTTGTTTTTCTCTTATTATTATGAATAAGTGTTCATTTGCTGAATATTCCTGCATTTCAATCTCATCATATTTTGTTGAACATGATTTAAAACTATAACAACAATAAATAGCTTTTCTGTTCAGAAACCTAGGGCTTTGTGGACATTCTACCAATGTGTCTTTATTTTTAGATGCTGGAGATAGGATTTATCAGAGAGTAATGAATAGAAATTCCATTTACCTACTGCATGACAGCATTATGAAAATGTTTACAATAAAACTGTTCTGTGAGATTTTTCATTTTTGCAGAAAATACAGAATTTTCTCCCCTTTGATACAGATTTCTTTCAAGGCAGAAGAGTTTTTTTTTCTGTTTACATGGTATCAAAATTACATTTCAAAGAAAAATGAGAAAAGGCAGTACAATAGTCTAAAATCGTTTAGCTTCTTTCTAAAGGAGTTATCTATAAATCTTTTTGACAGCTGTGTGTTCAGTATTTCTTTTTAAAATAAATCTTCTCATACAAGGAAAGGGGAGGAATAAGCGAGTAACCAAAGCCTCTCCATGCTGAGAAAAAAACTCAAACATTAGAACAGCAGAGGTAGGTTCTGTGGAGTTTGTTTCAAACAGTGATTTTTATAATTTTTTCTTTGGCATTGAGAGAGATCTATATGTAATATTTACATTCATATTGGGCATCCCAATACAGGGCAAAAGATTTAAGTGTGTGCTTAGCTGCACTTCTGTGTGTTGCCATTTAGATTTTGCCAGCTGCTGAGAACTATTGCACCAGTTCAGAATTATTAAATGCATGCTTTGTAGTAAATATTAAACATCTGCTAAAAGCACCCTGTAAAATGAAGTCAGCTAGGCTTCAGTAGGACAGCTCATACGCCTGCAAGTAGTTGTAGGGGTAAATTCACTGCTAACATGAGCAATGACTAAAAAAGAAAGATACACAACCAAAAAAAACCCTAAACACCCCCAGAACTAAACCCCGTGGCTTGGGGAAAAAAAAAAAAAAAAAAAGAATTTACTAAATTGTTCTCATTTTTTAATCACCTGTGTTAACTATTTAATATTCTTTTGACCACATTTCAAATTTCATAATTTGATCAAAGTAGTGACATTTAACAAGGGCAATTCTTACAAAGGTATTCTCTCATTTTCTTCCCTCTTGTTTGACATAGATGACTGAGTGATAATCCAGTTTGTCTTTAGGGAAAGCTTGGGAAGCATTTTTATGAAGGACTTTTCACAGGACTTGAATTCCACTATGATACACTGTAAAAATATTTCCAGAAATTATTGTTTGACTTAAATAGCAACAGCAGTAATATTGTCCTGAAAACCATGAGCTGAATGCTCATCATGGAGTCCTTAGCTGTTGGGTTTTTTTTTACCTTGTTTTTATTCATCTCTATAAAGAAAAGATATCACTGAATCAGTATATAGTTCAACCTTATGGAGTTGTCAGGGTTCAAAAAGTGCTGTTCTGGTAAAGGAATAGTGCAGATTTCTTTTGAGGAGAAGAATGCAAGTTAGCTGCATTGTATTTTACTATGTTTCTAACTTTCGTGTGGAAAGAAGCAGGGCCAGGTGAATTATATCCTATTTAGGTTATGCTTGGTAACTAGAACAAATGATTAAAAGTATTAATTCGTAAGCACATAGGGGATAATAGAGGGGTAAGAAACAGCCAACACGAATTTGTGTAGAACAAATCATGTCAAACCAATCTAATTTTCTCCTCTGACAGAGTAATTGGCCTAATGGATAATAGGGAATAAATAGATATGATATATTTTGGCTTTAATAAGGGTCAGTACAGTCCTATGTGACAGTCTTGTGAAGTAAATTAGGGTAATATGATCCAGGTGAAACTGTTAAAAGTTGATTGTAAAACAGAATGAAAAACTGTACTGAGAGTAGTTGCCGATGGTTTCCTATCAAAACAAAAGATCACTACAAGTCAGGATCTGCAGGAGACTGTTCTGTGCTTGCTGCTACTCTAAATTTTCATTAGCTAGCAGTGTGCCTGACAGAATAGAGAATACATATACCAGATAGTGTAGACACCTAGGTGGAGTGTGGCAGGTACTTGATGGAAGGTGGCAAGTTCATGATTGCCGTCCCAAATCATCTTCATCAGTCTGGAATTCTGACAAGTGCATTTAAATAAAAGCACAAACTATTGTGCTTAGACTGGAAAAATTAAATACATAAGTAGTAAAATGAGAAATGTCTAGCTTACTGAGCAAAAAGGAATCTTAGTGAATCACAGTCCAAATGTATATTAACAGTTACTAATGGGGGGGAGGAGAAAAATAAAACCACCCAACTAATACTGTGATATTACCATGTAGCATCCAAGAGTGTTCCAGTTATCAATAGACAGGTAAAATTCCACAGTATTTGAAACTGCCTCAGGTGAAGAATTATTTACAGCAGTGATCATCACACTTTCACAAAAGCAAAATTAGTTGCAGAATTTAG